TGTGTGTGTGTGAGAGAGAGAGAGAGAGGGAGAGAGAGAGAGAGAGAGAGAGAGAGAGACAGAGAGAGACAGAGAGAGATAGAGAACGAGAGAGATAAAATAATTTAAAAAAACCCGACCGGAGCGGAGGCAGTGACTGACGCAGCACGAGCCATTTTCAGCTCTGTTTGTCAAATGCACCACGTACGTCACGAAAAAAGGAACTTTAAATATTCAACCGAAAAAGAGGCGAGCTGAAGAAAACCTAGGGAGTGCTGAAGAAACGTGAGCAACAGTGAAGCAAGCACAGAGATCCGTTACTGTGTGTGTGTGTGTGTGTGTGTGTGTGTGTGTGTGTGTGTGTGTGTGTGTGTGTGTGTGTGTGTGTGTGTGTGTGTGTGCACGGATGCATGGGCCGGACTGAGCTCCCGGTTGCAGAGTTTTGCGTGTAGGGAGGGGTGGGCGCTCCATGTGACTGGCCAGTCACAGAGCATGAAGACAGTCAGTTACCCAATGAGGACTTTTCTTCAGCACGATTACAGATATTTACAAGTTTTACTCGTTTCATGCTCGTATTCGTCAAAAATACTTTATCCGGGCTCATCCCTAGCTGTAACCACCCTGCCCTGCCTCCTGCTGCCCGCCGGCTGTGATCACAAGCAACAACAGAGTAGTTCCTGCTGCTTCTTCGGGAAACAGCGCAAAAAAAAAATCTATAAAATGGGATATTGTAGGTGTGGCGCTGGGATTTCAGCTGTGGCGGGCTGCCACGGCTATGCCTAGAGCTGAAACAACTAATCGATTTAATCGATTATAATCGATTATTAAAATAGTTAACAACTTTTTTAGTCATCGATTAGTTGTTTAATAATCATATTTTACCGCATAAAGTCTATTTTTTACCACAATCTGACATCGGTTACAATCTGTTCAATTTGCCGCCAGTGTGTGGCAGTAATGAGCCACTGATCTACCAGTGGAGTCGTAGAAGAAGAAACGAGCCAATAAGTGCCCTCGGTTTTTACGACGTAACACGTTACTGATGCGCATCTTGCTGCGAGAGATGGTAGAACAAGAAGAAATACGGAAGAAAAATAGAAGCGACAAAACTGAAGAGAAACCCCGGACAAAAACCTCACGAGTATGGGAGCACTTCACTAGATGCCAAGAAAAGACGGGTGACCTGCAAAATATGCAAAAACCATCTAGCATGGCACGGAAGCACGACGTCCCTAAGTGAACATTTGAGACGAAAACATGTGGGGGCTGATGCAGTAGAGGAAAGTCCAGTAAATCCGGTAACAGAAAATAAACAAGCTAACGCAGATCAAATTTGGGAGCTGAGTTCGTTATAGTGGATGTTAAACATGTTTTTTGCCGCGTCAGTCTACGGCGTTCTACTTCTGATTGACTAGATGCAATCGTGAATCTCCTCCGTGTTGTGAATCATGCGCTTGCCAAATTTAGCACGTCTGTGTATAAGAATGTTCTTGTTAAGAGAAAAACGGCACAAACCCATAACTATGTTCCTCATTCAAAAAGGACAACTCCGCGGTGAAAAATATACAGATGAGCTGTGTCCAGGTGAATATAACGCGGCATAGTTGTACGCTTTCAATTTTTAAATACAGGAGAATTCAGAGTCATTTTTTTACTATTAAAAGGCTGTTTTACTGTCTAACGCTGTAAAATGCCTCACAAAACATTTTTGTCAAAATAAATGATCACTGTATATTGTTAATTAATTCAAATAATGTAATATTGATTTAGTGTTGTAGTGTGTGTGCTGCTTTATTTTATATGTGTACTTATTTCAGTCTATTTGTGTTTCTTATGCAGAAAAAAACAAGCAACGATGGACAACTACATGGGGAACAAGACACTCACCCCCCAGCAATGCATACCACTTACAAACTCTATTCTAGATTCTACATTATTTTTTATGGAATTTACCTCTTATATTTTGATGCCAAAAAATTATTCTGGACTGATATTTTGCACTTTTTAGCTCATTTTACACCACTGACTGTGTTCATGTGCAATAAAATAGATTGCAGTCAACTGCACAATTCTCTCATGTTTTTCTTTTTCTTAACTGAAATGTATTCATCACTTGTATAGGTTAAATAGCTAAAACAATAACAAACCGATTAATAGATTAATCGAAAAAATAATCGACAGATTAATCGATTATGAAAATAATCGTTAGTTGCAGCCCTAGCTACGCCCATGTAAGGGAAACGCTTAGTAATATCACTTGATCAAGGCTTTCATAAATTCCACACTACAAAATAGGTAAAAGTATGTATGGTTTGTTTATGTTTATTTATTTGGCAGACGCTTTTATCCAAAGCGGCTTATAATTTATAACCTATAGGGCATGTTGTGATCTGTGGGGGAAACCGGAGCACCCGGAGGAAACCCACCCATGCATGGGGAGAACACGTAATTCCACGCAAAAAAGCCGCAGCCGAGTTTTGAACCTGCAACCTTTGTGCTGCGAGGTAACAGTGCTAACAACTGCGCCACCATGCAGCCCTTTGTGCTGATATTGTATCGGATTGATATCGGTATCGGTCAATACCGAAGGCTGCAATATCTGTATCGTATCGGAAGTGGAAAAAGTTGCATCGGGACATCCCTAGGGTTTTAAGTTGTTAGTATTAGGAGTGTTATTTTATTGACAAGACAGCATTATTTATATATATATATATATATATATATATATATATATATATATATATATATATATATATATATATTAGAGCCGTTTAAAATAATCATATAATCGATGCATTGCGATGCGGACATAAATGATTATGCATCGATGCAGAAGCGCCCTATAATCGATTATAACATAATGTTTGTTTTCCAACCGCAACACGAATCTTTTAGCCTAGCATCGGCTGATTTTGTCCCTTGCTTCATACGTCATAATGGAGCGACGACTGCAGCTGCGCACTGGCGCCTTTACGATCATGGCGGAACAAAGCTCCGAGTTAGCGTTACAGATAAAAGACCCTCCAAAGACACTGAAAGCAGACATATGGAGCCGTTTTGGATTTTACCAACAATCAGGGAGACATGATTTGGACATGTCATATGCCGTGTGTAAATCCTGCCGCAGCAAGATTAAATACGTCGGGAACACCACCAATTTAAGGAATCATGTTAGCCGTTTCCACCCTGAGTTGCTAACAACAACACCGGCTGTTGAACCGCCCAGCCCTGCGCAGCCAAGAATTGATGCGGCTCTCTCAATAATACCTCCCAACTCGGAAAAAGGGAAGAAAATAACCCAGGCTGTGGGGGCTTTCATTGCGAAGGATTTACGACCGTATTCTGTCGTGGAAAACCCTGGGTTCAAACACATGTTAAAGACACTGGAGCCACGATACAAGGTCCCTGCACGTAGCCACTTCGCAGAACAGGTAATTCCTGCACTGTATGATGAAACCAAAGCCAAGATGTTAACCTCCATGAGCAAAGCTAATTTAGTAGCAATAACATGCGATTCCTGGACTTCAGTGGCAACAGAGTCCTGTAGGGCTGCAACAACGAATCGATAAATTCGATGAAAATCGATTACTAAAAGCGTTGGCAACGAATTGCGTCATCGATTCGTTGTGTCGCACAACTCTTCCAAAAGCGCCCCCCCCTTCCCGCCCGCCGTTGCGCGCAGACCAGTCAGATCAGCGCGAGGGAGAGCCGGCAGAGAGCCGCAGATCAGCGCGAGGGAGAGCCGGTACCGGCAGATCAGCGCAGGGAGAGCCGGCAGACTTGCGCTGCTGCGAACCGGTTCCGCATTGTCGCGCAGCGATCCAGGCAGCTGCTTCCAGCGCACGGTCCATTCTCAAAGTGGCGCAACCAAAAAACTATAATTAACACACGATCGTTCATGTCCGCACATGTTCTCTATTTTCTGTCTTATTTGTGCCTGAAGCTCGCTACTGCGGAGCTCATCACCTGTGCTGTGGTGATGTCACCTCATGCAGCATCGAAAACGCGCTCTGCGCTTTTCGGTCAGGAGATCCCTTTGATCTGCTCAAAAGTAACTGATGAGGTGAAAAGGTAAGAATCCAGGCAACAGATTTTCTGGAGAATTAAGAGGAGATGCAGGAAGATGAGAGACAGACAGGACAGGAAAATAGTTAAATAAAAACAAGAAAACAAAACAAAGTGTTGAAAAGTCAAATGTAGATAGATTTATCTCCACTACACGTTTTTACCAGTAAAAAACAATAAGTTCTACACATGTCATATCTATACATCTGATACAATTCAGATCACCTTAAAAACTCAGTCACACACCCAGGGCCGTTTGAAGACATTTTGGGGGCCAAGGCAAAATGCCCCCCCCCCCCCCCCCCATAACTGGGCTCCCCAGAAGCCTCTGTGTAATTCATACCCTCTCCAGTAGTGTTAGTTATATGGTGTTTATAAAAGCCCCTCAGACATTACTGACATGTTCTAATATTATCAGATGAAAAACTAAATTATCAGACATGCTGTCTCATCAGCTGCTTTTAAAAACTTGCAAAAAGTAACAAAACCATTTGAAAGCCACTATTTGTGGATTCTCTGAAAGTTTCCATGGAGTGTGTGACAACTTATTTTTTCATTGATCCTATCGTCTAATCTCACAGCTGAAACAAGCATCCTTAATAATCTGTGCACAGGAAGCTTACCGATGCTGTAGTAAAACAAAAGGTATAATAATTTATTATTAATAAAACCTTGTTGCAGCACTAAAGCAGAAAAATTAGATTTTGCATTAAAAATGCAAAATATTTACATATGAATTGTTTTAGAGCCCTTTTATTGGCAGAATCTGATATTAATTTAGTTCTTACAAAAAATGGGTCCCAACATGGTTTGTGTGGCGTTGCCATAGTGTGACGTCATAGGCACAGATCCCCTGTCCTCTTGTTTGGACATGGAAATATGGTCACCCTACATCAGAGATCACTAATAGGCGGACCTGGGTCCGGATCCGGACCGAAATGCTGTCTGGTGTGGACCCGAGCCTAATGTCAAAATAAAGTTCGCCTAATTTTATAACCGCTTCTGGCCGGTGCAGCTATTGCATTCTTTACGGTAGTATTCTAGCATCCACGAACACCCACAGGCCAATTGTGCGCGAGTTTAGTCAGACCACGTGACACCAACAAGCCAATAACATGTTTTATTCCTGCCAGAAAATACAGGCGATACGTAGCGAAAATAAACGGTTCAGACGCCGGAGAGAAGGAGAGCAGCGAAGAGCAGAAATTCGAACAGAGAAAACGAGAGATTCAGGCGGAGAGCGGTGGAAAGAAGGAGACATTCAGGCTAAGAGCAGCGACAAGGAGAGATTCAGGTGTAAAGGAGGAGGAATTCAGTTAGAGAAAAGGAAAGCGGCGACAGGCGACAAGGAGAGATTCAGGCGGGTGAGACGGAGAGAAGTAGAGAAAGCAGAAATGGCAGCCTCTAAAAAACGGAAAGTGGACAGCGAAAATAGAGCATTTAATCCAGAATGGACAGAGTCATTTCTCTTTGTTCTTCCAACTGGTGGCACAAAACCTGTTTGTCTCATATGTTCAGAAACAGTGGCACTTATTAAAAGTGGCAATGTGAAACGCCATTATGAGACAAAACACAAATGTTTTGAAGAAACATATCCCCTCAGATCAGAAGTAAGATCAGAGAAAATACGTAGTCTCAAAGCCCAATATGAACAGTCCACCAGGATCCTGAGCCACACGTTCACTGCTCAGCAACGAGCCCATGAGAGTTCCCTCAGAGTTTCTTGGATTTGGGGTCAGCACAAAAAACCATTTACTGATGGAGAGGTTGTCAAAGAGTGTATGACAGCAGTTGCTGAAACACTGTTTGAAGGAAAAGAAAAACAAGAAGTTTGTGAAAAAATAAAGCAAATCCCCATATCAGCATCATCTGCTACAAAGAAAAGTGAAATACTGACTCAGGATGTTGTAGCCCAGCTAGATGAAGCCATACAGAAGGCACCATGTGTAGGTTTGGCTGTGGATGAGTCCACTGACGTGTGTGATAATGCTCAGCTGTTGGTTTATGTGAGGTTTTATTACGCAGAGCAGAAAGCATTCTATGAAGACCTGCTGGGTATTACTCCTCTTCAGACCAGCACAACAGGAGAGGACATCTACCTGGCCATTATGGAGATGTTGGCAAAGAGAGGAATTGAGCCTTCAAAAGTGATTTCAATAACTACAGATGGAGCCCCTGCTATGATAGGGAGAGAAAAGGGAGCTGTAACAAGAATGAAGAAAGACAACCCTGACCTCTTAACCTACCATTGCATTATTCATCAATCTGTCCTCTGTGCCTCCCTGTCAGATGAGCATGCTGAGGTGATGACTTCAGTGATGAAAATGATCAACTTTCTTAGAGCGTCCTCTTCCTACCAGCATCGCATGCTTAGAGAATTCCTCAAAGAAGTTGATGCCAATGCTGATGATCTTCTGCTGCACAACAATGTGAGATGGCTCAGCAAAGGCAGAGTTTTAGCACGCTTTTGGGCCATTAGGAGGGAAGTAGCATCTTTTTTGGCAGAGCTAAAACATCATAAGGCAACACAGTTTTCTACATTTCTAGAAAATGAGAAGCAGATGGACAATGTTGCCTTTTTGGTTGATATAACTTCACATCTAAACGAACTGAACTTGAGGCTACAGGGCAAGGACAATTCCATTTGTGAACTAATGACAGCTGTCCGTGCCTTTCAGAGAAAACTTGAAATGTTCAAGGAGGACTTGCAGGAAGACTGTGTCCACTTCCCAGCAGTGCAGGAACAGGTTCAGGGACAGCGAGATGTCTCGTCGTTTGTTGTCTTCATTGATAAACTTATTGCTAACTTCAGCAATCGTTTTGATAGCTTCAGCATTGGCCAGCAGCTCACCATGTTCATTCAGAACCCATTCCTCATCACAGATGTCAGGAGCTTCTCAAAGGAAGCCACACAGCATTTTAAATGGGTCAATGCCAGGGATCTTCAGATGGAGTTAGTTGACCTCCAAGCAAACTTGGCCATGAAAGAACTGTCTGCCAGGACTGACCCGTCCTCATTCTGGCTCCAAATGGTTCCTGAGACAGCTTTCTCACATCTAAAGAAAGTAGCCTTGTACATCCTGACCATGTTTGGTTCCACCCACAACTGTGAGGCAGCGTTCTCCACAATGAACATTATAAAAAACAAATATCGTTCCAGGCTCACCAATGAGCATCTCCACACATGCATGAGGATGGCTCTGTCTCCATTCAAGCCCAGGTTCAAAATGTTGGCAGGACAAGCAAGAGCTCACTTCTCTCACTAAGTAAAAATGTGGAAAACATTAACCTAAATATATGTTCAGTTATTACATGTGTGCAAAGTCACATTTTTTTAAATCATTTTAAGACTTTTTAGTTCGCACGTGAAGAGGAAAAATGTAAAAAAATTAAGCTTTTTCTACATTTATTCTGAAGTTAGTAGTTTGTGAAGATTCAGTTGCCATGTGTTATTTTCTTGTTGACACTTTTTTCTACTTTTATTTAGTAAATGAGAGAACATTCCAAATAAATCATTTACATGTTCAACACTTTAAGTGACAATAAATGTCATAAGTATTTGAATTACACTGAAGTATTTCTGATTTGATATGCAAATTAATAATGCAGATGTTGATAAAACTGCTAGGATACTTAAATACATGTCACACTATTGTAGGTCGGACATAATGATCTTTCGGACCTTGGGCTAAAAAAATTCTTTCTGACTGGACCTTTTTAAATAGTATTTGTATACCCCTGCCCTACATTAAACAAACTGTCCACCCGGGCTTTTGCGCTGCACAGAGACGCTTCGCTGCCTACGACTGAATGTCAGTTGAGAGTCAGTCTCATGCAGACTGACCAATGAAGAGAGGGCCTCAAGTTAAGACCCTCTCCTCATTGGTCAGTCCACACGAGGTGGGTCAAAGGTTACTCTGGGTGGGTTACGTGTTGTCAGGCATTCAAGTATTGAGTATATTTACTGCATATTACAGTAAAATATTCTGTATGTGACCACAATATGGTGATCCTTGGGTCGTGATGATGGAGCCCTTGAATATTGTTGCCCAGGGTACAACAAAGTGTTAATCTGGCCCTGGTTCCGCCGTCACATTCCCGCAGAAACTGGTTGATCACACCGGGGCCAGACTACTAGCATGTGGTTTTACAACCACAATGTCCTCGGAAGCAAAAACGCTTTTAAAAGGGAGGGAGGAGTCCTAACTGTTGCTGCAGGCGTGTTGTGTGAGAGTGCAGTTATATACTGGTTAATATATTTTTGGGTTCAGTTGCTTTCATGTGGCCTAATGTGAGTCTATTTGGGATCATTGGAATGATCAGCAGCATTTCTTGATGTGACTTTATGGCAGTTGCCCAGGGCATCATCGCAAGGAGGATGGCATTCATTTACTTTTGTTTTATTTGGTATTTTTTCAGTCATTTTTGGAAATAGTGATCAATTTTGATTAATTCACAGCCTATGTTTAATTACATTTAAAATAAATGTCAACAGATGAGATCAAACAAAACAGATGAGAATTGCCCTTAAGCTGTTTAACTTGGACCAAGCATTTTAGGTCACAGATTAGGGCTGTAGCGAAGCCTCGATGACGTCGACGGCTCGATTCTAAAAATTCGTCGACGTCAGATCCGGTAGTCGACGCACCACGCCCACTTGTTGCATCCCCAGGAGTTTGTAAATAGAGGTGGAATCTGCCTGTTTTTCCTCTAGTTCGCCCTCTTCTCCGCCTTCACTAACATCTCAGCCAAATACCGAAGACCCGGAACAACGTCCGTCCGCTACTAGGTTCCTTTACTATTTTGCCCGCCTTCGTTTCCCGGCAACGGACAACAACTTCCGGGGTCAAATGCGCTGCTCCGTCTCTGTAGCAGATGCAGAAAATCACCGGGAGCGTTTCTCCCTTCATAAAGGAGCTTCTTTCAGACATTAGGAGAGCTGTTTTGGTGTAAGCAGTCTCTCCTCCATGCTGGTCTGTTTGCTGCTGGGTGTTTTTGGTTTATTTAAACTTGGTAACTTGAACTTAACGTTGGTAACGCTACTGTTAGCATCTTCGCTAACAGCTTCTTGCGTTTGGATAAGCTGTTACGTTTTGGTTTAGAGTTCATCTTTTTTCAATCCAATCCAATCCAATTTTATTTATAAAGCGCATTCACAAGGCATAACAACCAAACAAGGCGCTGTACACTAGAAATGTTGGTTAATTAAACAAGCGATATTTAAACATGTTGAACACATATAAAAAATAATAATTTGTGGTACAAATTAATAAATGTCTAAATGTAATAAAATATCCCTTTTATTACATTTAGAGTGTTGTGGGTTTTCGGTTTAGTTTAAAATATCACCTTGAGTTTGGTTTAACCGCCCAGTTTAGAGTTTGGAACTTTGGAGATTCTTATTTTGGTCCAAAACCCTGTAATCTTTGCCCAGTGGGACATCCCTAGTTATCTGTACTTTTGTTTTAATTCCCCACAGGCAGAATTAGTTTTATTACTCCCAACCTGTGGATGGAAAGATTTGTTTTTTTGTAGTTGTGAATAAACCTGATCATCATTTTAACTTTTAAATCCCACATTATTGTCCCTTCCTTTTTGCACACGAGCCAAACTCCCCAGGAAGAGTCGTAACACCACTCGCCTCATGCACAGAAGTGACCAAAACAAAGCAGCATGGAGACACTCCGTCTCCAACCACCTCTCAGGCAGCAGTCTGCACTCCCAAGTTCTACACGTCACCAGAACATAACCAACCAACACAATAAAAGCAGTGTTATACAAAATGGGAGGCCTGTAGTGTTTATTCTCTTACAGTAACAATTAATCAATTTTTTGGAGGAATTTATTAGAGATTTTTTGGTTTTTATTAACTGTGCAATAGAAAAATAATCATTAGATTAATTGTATAAATAGTCATTAGAATAGTCGACTATTCGATAAAATAATCGTCAGAATAATCGTTTTAAAAATAATCGTTTACCCCCAGCCCTATCACAGATAGATGTAGCTTAGGGTCTCTGTCTATACACCTTATAAGACAATTTAGGTGATGGCATGTTGTTTTTCTGCTATTGAACTGTTTTCTAATAATGTTGTGTTAAATAAAGTGAAGGAAGGAGAGAAATAACGTTTCCCTAGCAGTTTTTAAAAATTTCCCCATGTAATCCGATTAATCGATTAATCGTGTCGAGACCCCATCCGATTAATCGATTATCCAAATAATCGTTTGTTGCAGCCCTAGAGTCCTATATTACAGTGACGGCACACTACATGAGCGAGGACTGGCAGATTATTTCCCACGTGCTGCAGACGAGAGCTGTTTATGAGTCTCACACAGGTGCACATCTGGCAGAGCTACTTTCAGATGTTGTTTCAGAGTGGCAGCTGTCAGATAAAGATATTGTCCTGGTTACAGACAACGCTTCAAACATGATTCTTGCAGCTCAAATCAGAAAATTCAAACATGTCAGATGCTTTGCTCACACCTTGAACCTGGCATCACAGCGTGGACTTCGAGTTGCATCGCTTACCAGGCTTCTGGGAAGAATCAGACGTATATCCACATTCTTCCATCGTAGCACGACAGCAAGCCACTGTTTAAAGGTAAATCAGAAATGCTTGGGTCTGAAAAATCAAAAACTACTCACAGATGTACCAACAAGGTGGAACAGTTCCTACGACATGGTCCAGAGGTTTTTGGAACAGCAACCTGCCATTTGTGCCACCTTGTTGTCACCGGAAGTTAGAAAAGGAGAGTCTGACATCTGCACGCTCAACGAGACAGATGTATCTAACGCTGAAGATGCTGTCAGTGCATTAAAAGCAATGAAAGATGCAACCACACTAATATCTGAGGAAAGCAATCCAACCATCTCCTTGATTGCTCCACTCAAGTCACAACTTCTCCAAAACATGACCAGCAGCATCAGCGACTCACCCATGATTCACGACATCAAGAATGCTGTCAGAACAGATCTCATGCACAGGTACAGCTCTGAGGCAGAGAAGAAAATGCTTTGTACAGCCTCGGCCCTGGATCCCCGCTTTAAGGGATTACCTTTCCTGACAGAGAAGGAGCGATCAGATGTCTACAGAGAAGTGACTGAGGAGGCAACATGTTTGGAGGTAAATTCATCACTTTCTTTTTGAATTAACATATACATTTCTGTATAATATTCTTAATAATTTGTCATGTTTGGTGTTGTAAGTAATTATTTACATTAGCATAAAATGAGTAAATCCACCGGAATGCTTTTATCATAATAAAAATAAATATTATGATAAGGTACATCAACATTTTCAAAAGTGTGATTAATCATTATTAAATATTTTAAAATATTCAAAGCCATACAATTTAGACAGACTAGTAAGTTCCCTATCAGATAAAATAATGATTTTTTATTTTTTCCCTAAACAGCAGGAGTATATTCTGGCCATGCACCCAAAAGTTCCGGTGCAACCCGAAGTTCAGAAGGATGGAACCTCGGCAGACGATCCCTCGGCTGCTAAAAGAAAGCCTACATCATTACTTGTGAGCTTGCTGGGACAGTCTTTCAATGATGTTGAGGTTAGTGAAGAATCCAAGACCTCCTATGTCAGAGCTGAAGAGGAAATGGATAATTATTTGAAAACGTCATCATTGCCCCTGTCTGAGGACCCTTTAAACTGGTGGAGGGTACACAAGGTTGCATTTCCTCTCCTGGCTCGACTGTCAAAACGATACCTTTGCATCCCTGGAACAAGTGTATCTGCAGAACGTGTTTTCTCCACTGCTGGAGACGTTGTCACGGCCAAAAGATCTACTCTCAAACCACAGCATGTAGATCAACTGGTGTTTTTGCACAAAAACCTTCAACTTCCAAATGTTAACTAGTCATCATTATTACTTTTCAGTACATCTTCTTAAATTCAAACAAATGTTAAAATGTTTGCACTTTTTGTTGTCCCAAGGACTGTTATGTATTATTCGTGGGTTTTCCAAAATATGCCAGTATTGGTAGATTTTGCGAACATCTGAAGAACACGTTTCTTTCCCCCCACACAGCCTGAGAAGTGAATGTCAAATAAGGAGATATTTTTTTATGTTCTTAAGTCCTCTTAAATTTAAAGTTTTGCACTTTTGTATAAGGACTGTTATCACAGGAGAGAATACTTTCCAAATAATTATTTCTCATTTACGGTTGTTCAGAGTTGTTAAATATTTTGTTAGCATCTACAGAACATGTTTTTCCGACAGCCTGAGACATTATTGTTTAATGAGGAAAGAGATTTTTTTTTTGCTGTGCAATCCTCTTAAATGCAAACTAAAGCTTCAAATGTTTTGTACTTTTACACTGTCCCAAGGACTGTTATCAGAAAGCTGTTTACTGCATATTTATGCAAATAAAAGTTTTTGTTAAATAAAAAAGCAAATGTCTAACATATATTTATTGATGAGATGAAATCCACATGAAATAATCGTGATGCATCGTGATGCATCGAGATATCGAATCGAATTGAATCGCTGACACAATAATCGTAATCGAATCGAATCGTGAGACTAGTGAAGATTCACACCTCTAATATATATATATATATATATATATACACACATTTCCTACACAAAAGCAAATCAATGTGCTTTACAGCAGTAAGAACAATTGTTACTGTTTTTGTGTTAGTGTATGCTATTCCATTTCTGAACGATGAAGTTCCAAACCAACAGTTTGGTAATTCCACTCGAGGCTTACGTCATTATTTTTAAATTAGTCCCGGTAATACCGTACACCTTGGTAAAATGTGGAGGGAGTTGTACGATATTCAAATTTTGACACCAGTCAAGCCTATTGCAGAGCAAACAGAGTCAGTGGTAGAGTCACTTTGCTGTTAGACAATCAGTAGTGAGATGTCCAATTATGAGAAAAATTGACTCCAAATCATGTAATCTGAAGCTACTTTCTCCTCCAGCTGACTTCTACGTCTTCAAACAGGCACACTGGAGCCTTTTTCCCCCAGAGACCAAGGCACTCATTCCTACTAGAGACCACTGCAAATGTATTCAAAATATGAGTAAAGTTGATCTTCAGAGCTGCTATAGTGAATCTTCCGCACAAGCCAAGTTTTGAACGCAAACACAGTCACTGAACACTCACCCCTCCCCTCGGGTATCTTCTCTGAGACCGGTCTGCTGGAACCAGACACCCGTGATGACGGAGGAAACAAGAGAGTACTAAACACCAGTCACTGTTTTCCAAATCCAAACATCTTTTGTTGTCTGTGATTTCAAATGGTGTTATTCTTTTTGGGGCTCTGGTAGTTTGTCATCCAGTTAGGGCTGCTCAATTAATCGAATTTTAATCCCAATTACGATCTGAGTTTTAAACGATTTTAAAAACAAAACAAACCGATTATTTGCTCCTCCCACTTGCACTGCCCTGAGTTACAAATGAAGCGCTCCTCCCACAGTGTTGACAACTTGGCGACTTTGACGCTATTTCTAGCAGCTTTTCAGACCCCCTTCTTGACTTTTTAAATCTTAAAAATACCTAGCGAACACCTCAGAAACATCTCTGGTAACCCTTAGCTACTTTCTGGATAACTGTCGTTGACATTTCCTGCAGGTTAGCTAAACACTCCGCCTGCACTCCGGACCGTTCTTCAGGACATTAGGAAAGGGAATGATGCAGTGATGTGTCAGTCGCTAAAGAAACGACTCTCGGAGCTGGCTCCCTGTTGGATTAACCAGAGTGTGACACACACCATACCTGCGGACTCCTGAGCCGCTAAAAACGGCTAAATGTGAGCGTGCGACACGCTAAACACACGTGCAGCTTGCCCCTGATTGCTGTAAGACCGGGTTGGGGGGGTGCAGCTGTGGTTGGGACAATTATTACATTAACTGATGGACCTGTAAATAAATAGTTTATAAATAAAGTAGAAATAGATAGAAATAAGTTCCTCACGCTGATAAATAATAACTAATCTCTCTGAGGACACGGTGCTAGTGCACTCTCCTACAGCACCTTGACACAAATGACTACATATTATGCAAAATGTTGTGAACATCAATTTATTTGCATTTATTTGTTATAAATGCCACTGTATAATTCCTGCTGTCAGTATTTGCAAGATATTGGTATTTGGGTCTGTACTGGTTAGACTTTAATGAGTTAAAGGGGCATTATGGAAGTTTGACAGCCAAAACATGTACAGAAATAATAAATTTCTTCTTCATACATTCTCCTGCAATGCCCTGGTCATGTAGAATGAGCCCTGGCATATTTACTGTGATTGCCTAATTTTCTCTAAAATCACAGAAAAAGAGAGATGCTCGGGTCGAGCCGGCTGCTTCATGCGCGTTCATGCTCTGGCATAGCCCGTAGCATTTGCTATCAGTAGCTTTAGCAGCAGAGAGTGAGGTAGTGCCAACTCAGCAGCTTTGTCGCTGTTCCTAACGCCTAGTGATGAACCTAGCTACATTTCTGAGGACCCTTAGCTACTTTCTTCTAGATATTTCCAGCAAATTAGCAACAAAATAGCAATTTTCGCTCCGAACCGTTCTTTGAACGTTGTTTCAGCTGTCATCAAGGATGTAAATGTCACAGATACAAAAGATATCACTGGCGCGTTAGCTCACCTAGTAAGACGTCGGACTCGTGCAGAAGACCTGAGTTCGATTCTGGACGTGAATCTAGTTTTTTATTTAGTAAATTTTTTACATTAACGGTATTTTTATTTTTTTTTTTACAGTAAGATGCCCAAATTTTTATTTGAGACTCGCCGAACGCCATTGAATTCACAAATAAAAAAAAGATGTGGGTTCAACTTTCATTTTGGAACAATTTTTCAAGCAAGGGAAGGACATGATCTGAGCATGCAGGAGGACTGACCCATCATAAACCTTTGTCGGCTGTGCTGAAGAGAAAGGTACAGAACCAAATTAAATAATTAGCTGCGCGTTCTCCTGTCCTATGGGCCACACACACACACACACACACACACACACACACACACACACACAAACACACACACACACACACACACACACACACACGGGACTGTCTCAGCTGTTATTTTCGTTAAGGAGTGTGCACGTACCGCATGCACGCCTCATGCACGAGCCTACTATTGAAGCTGCCGTTACGCTTTTGGTCTGAGGGGGCAATAAAAATTCAAGACTCCGTAAAGTCCCTTTAAACCAAGGTCTATAGCTCTTGGGTCATAAACTATGAGCTATAAGTATATTGGTCTTTTTATACTGGGAATCAGGAGTTATTTTAGCGATCATCTTGTTTCTTATTTATTTTTGTCCTGATTATGCCCCGAGCAATTTATTGACAGAATAACAACAAATAAAATCAACATAAATTGAAAAATCGTCTTAAATAATCGAGATCTCAATTTCAGTCACAATAATCGTGATTATTATTTTTGCCATAATCGAGCAGCCCTACCTACAGTTGAAGTGGTAGCAGCTAATGCAGTGGCTTGGTAGCAGTGGATTGGTGAGACCGACAACCAGATGGTCCAATCGTTGGTTTCAGATCGAGCCGTGTTATTGGCTGAGGTTTTCAGACAAATGAGCACCACTCGTTTTTTTTTATTGAAAACTAAATATTTATAGCTATATTATGTTAGAACATTAAGAGGCATGAAAATATGTCTTAGCTAGCTTGTTCTGCAGATTTGCCATTGTAGCTTTAATTAGGACTGAAAGGTGCCCACATGAGTGATAAAAGAACTAAATTGCAAATAAAATAAAACAATCCTTTTAAAATATTTTGAGACAGCAGCAATTCAGTGTGATTCCAAGTGAAAATGAGCAGTAAGTGTTGAAATTTTTTGTCTGCAACGATTTGCCCAAGTTGTTCCCAGTGAAACTCGACTAACTACCAGATACATAATTTATTTTATCCACTTTAATGACAATACTTCAGGATCACAGCATTTACTTAATTCACTGCATGTTCAGCTCCACCCTGGTGGATTTTCATCTACACCTATGTGGCTTTTATTTAGATTAATCCTTGTTCCAGTAACTTATAACACTGAATTCCCTGCAGGAATGTAATTTTCGATTTTATTGGTTTTATGTAACTTTCAGAATAAGGCTAGGCTCACCAAGGATGTGCCTAACTTTTAACTGGCTCTACTAAAGAGATATCTTAAGATCTCCATAAATGAGTGTTTCTTCTTGGAAGCTCTATTGTCTATTTTTCTTCATTTTTAAGTGCTGAAGGTTATGGTGATAGCCTAGTGCCTATGTTTATTTAACTGTATTATATGTTTATATTTCTCCAAGTGCATGTGTTGCCTTAACAAGTGAATTTCCCCACTGTGGGACTAATACACTCATTTCTATTCTATTCTAAATAATAGTGAATATCGGCACAACATATTGGCCAACCAATGTATCTGGTCTATCTCTAGTTGGGTCCCTAAAAGTGGATTGCAATGCACAAAGCTGGGGTACTGGCATGGTCTCCCAGAGTAAAAACATAACTACAAATTATTCTTATTCAGCACAATTCATGCAAGAACCCAAACCAACACTCAGAAATAGATCTAAGCAGTACATTATATATATTTCAACATCCTCCTGTTCAATCATCTCTTCAGCCATATCTGTAGTCCAACCAGTGATGCTTGAGATCATAAGTCCTAGTCATTTGCTCTTTAAGGGGTCAGTAGCTATTTGGGAATCGCTTGAATTGATGTCAAAGTGGATAAATCTGAAGCGGACCTCTCGGATTTAAACTCCTGCAAGGCTTTATTTCTTGTTTTATAAACGCCGCGCAGATGCAGCTGTTGGGTTTACTCATCTTATTTGTAGTTGTTTACGACTGTAGTTATGGAGGACCGGCCGGAATGTGTTGTTTACATTGGTCGGAGGGAAATCTGCCGCGTAATACTCACAGGGTGACTGTTCTGTTGGGGAAGGAATCCGGGGCTAACACCTGTTCGAGCTCCATGTTGCTGCAGACCACTTTCCGGTCGGACGGCAGGCTTTTCCCGCTGCCTTTCGGCCGCTCGTCTGATGTTTTGCAGGCGGACTGAGCCGCGGAGCCGCTCAGCAGCAGCAGCAGCACCAGCCAGCACGTCCTCATTTTCACACAGAAAACGACTGCAGCATTTGCAAAAAACGAAGAACGGCGTGGTATCAATCCCGATGGTATAGTTAGTGGAAGGGCTCCAAGCGATGGAAAAGGGAAATCTCTGCCAGCGGTGTGATGTTTGGCTCAAGTGATCCTTCCTCTTCCATTTCTCTCACTCCGACCTTATTTGTTTCGCCAGGGGCTCATTTATAATTCCATCTCGGTGTGGCGTAGACCCAGCAACACTTAATAACCACGCACATTTAGTTTAAAAGGCTCAATTTGGTTGCTAGCTAGCATTCCCAGTCTTTGTTGCCCCTACTAGCTTGTGTCCAGGTCGCGTTGTTGTCTTTTCCACGGGAGTCGGCTGCAGTCATTCCAGGTTATCAGCTTCCAACTTCAGGAAATACCTTCTGGCGTCTTCTTGCTTACTTTAACTCCACTGTATTTTGGACTGCGAACTAAACCAAACAAATATATACCCGAGTACATTTATCCACCGACAGTCGCAGGAAATTACTTTAACAAAAAAGCCCGAAAACAAAAGAAATGTCCTAGCTAGTTCGGTAACGCTTCAAAATGTGAAAAATAAACAAAAGACGACGAATTTATATCCCGAATAGTTACTGTTGTAATGTAGTTGTCATTAAAATGTACTTAAAAGCATCTCAAAACTTGTCTAAAGTTAACTCCTCTAGTGGTCGTCCTCCTGTCCCCGGTGTTAAGCTGAATTGTGTCATTAAAGCTAGTTGGATCACAACCACATCCGGGTGGACTTTCAAAATAACACTGCTGAGATTTTATTTAATGTAACTGGAATACTATCAAAATAAAAGGCAATTCAGGGTTCTGTTTAGGTTTCAGACAACTGCAAAAACAAAACTGTTATTTTTAGCTTCAAATTTTTAAATAATGTGACAACCTTAAAGCAGTTTGTTTTAAAATCAAATTTAAAATACACGAATAAAACTAGATTTAATGGAAAAGTAAATACAAAAACGATCGATAAATGACCTACACTTTTAGAAGGTGCCTTTCAGAGTCAGAGGTCTCCAGTGTGTCACACTACAGTGTATCATTCATTCATTCACACAACTGGTGATGAGCTATACTGTAGCCACAGCTGCCCTGCACGAGGCACAATGACAGAGGCCAGGCTGCCAAGCACTGGTGCCACCGGCCCCTCTGAGCACCACTAGCAGGCAAGGTTAAGTGTCTTGCCCAAGGACACAACAGCAAAAATTTCAGCCAGGAGTCAGGATCAATCTTACAACCCCCCGATTATTGGACAACCCGCTCTACCTCCTGTGCTCCTGCTGTCCATAATATAAAGTCTGAGCAGTTACAGTAGAAAGAGCAGCATAAGCAACAATCCTTCAAAGGCAGATGACTAAAGTAAAGTTTTAAATTTAGATTTAAATTTAGTCACTAGAGCTGTGGTTTTTCTTTTATGATACATTTGTATAACCAAGCTCAAGGTGCAGTGATGAACGCTGCATGATATAGTGAGTTCAGTAAAAGAGAAGCATGCATGGGGACAATGTTACCATAGTCCAGCACAGAGAGGAATTGACTTTGCAGAATTTTCTCTCTGGCTGCAGAGGGCATGCATTCTTTGCAAACAAAAAACCCATTTTTTTAAAGGCACCTCTCCATGCCTTGTTTTAGAATAGAAGAAAACTAATCCTTTATTCTCCCACCCTCAGTGAGGAATTTTTTTATGTAACAGCAGCAACGTAGATTCACAACAAGAATAAAAAATAAAAAGATAAAAAACGTATACTAAATAAAAGACAATATATGTAAAATAAAAAATTAAGGTTGAATAAAAATTCAATAGAAGGATCACGTTTGGAATTAGGAGTGAGAAAAAGTTTAAAAAAAAAAGTAGGAAATTACTGTATGACCAGATTCAGTACCAAAAAAAATTGGATTGGATTTAGTTAAATTCAATTCAGTTTATTTATATAGCGCCAAATCACGACAAGAGTCGAGTTGATGTCTTTATAGTCACAAAATAGCCTTCATGGCTCAAATTTTCTGATCTGGCTTTGAGAAGTTTAGTTATAGGTGACGACTTAGAAAATGAATCAATGTTCTTAATGTAGATTTGGACAAAAACAACATGATCATATTGTAAAGTGGCACACAATGACTTCCTTATGTGGTTGAAGTCCAGGTATCAGACCTGCTTCTTCTGCCTCCAAGTGGGCAGATCGTGTTACTGCAACCAGTGGTTTGTTCTTTACCAGATACTTAATGTTGATGGGTAAAGCTTATTCACATCTTTCTGTCATTATTAAACCATGGGTTTGTTATTTGGTAATTTAGCAGTCTGATTTTAACCTTGTGACAAAAGTGACAATGATGACGTCTTTTACCGTGTCACCGAACTCCCAGCCCTTAATGAACTGGTCAAACATGAATTTAGAAGTTTAACAAAAGTTTAATAGAAAAACAGAAAGAATACATTTTAAAATATATTTAAATCTAAATTTAAAATAAGATGCAATTCATTCACCTATTTTAAAACGTGTAATGAGGAGCATCAACATGTAATCAACGGACTAGTAGCTTATTGGATAAAATTACACCACGTGATATTTATCCACGCCCACTGAGTCGTTCAGCTTGAACCATAAACAATTGGCTGAGTTTACGATCATAAACTTTACTAGAGAGAAGTGACGAGTTTGGTACTGTTTGTGTTCGGCTTTTAAAGTTCCTAAAACATGTTCCCGCCGGATTTTGCGTGGGGAGCTGCAACTTCCGCGTTTCAAATAGAAGGTAAGTTGATAGGATGTGTGTGTGTGTGTTCATTTTTTTTATACAGTAGCTACTCCACATGGTCTGTTGTAAGCTAAACTGGCTTCATGTTGAGTTTTTTATTCTGCCAGCCATATTTAAACCCCACTACTACTCAAATTAATGTAACTCTGTTGACCTACATGGGGCTTTTACGTCATAAAAACATTAAGGACTGTACTAAGGTTGAGATATTTGCAGAGCGCTTCTTTCTTTAAGTGTCCCAAAAGCATTTCAGAGTTTTACTTTAGACTTATCTTTTTCACTCATAACCCAAAAATTTTAATTTTAACTGTCAAGCCACTTAAATCTCAATCATTCTTACATAATTAAAATTCAAAAATATTTAACTAATTCTAGAGGGGAACTAAATAACGTGAATTAATTTATGCCAAACAAAATGGATATGTAAATGCCTAGCAAAATTATTCTAAAATGAAACCAAACTCCCATTTCCAGACCATTTTGTGTATTTGTAATCTGAGTTTAATTTAGGATGCAGGTCTCCCAAGTCCCACCACTGCACAGTAATGGTGCTACGGACATCATACCTAACCAAAACTAAACTTTTTAGGAAAAAATAATTTTAACACACAAGATCAAGGTTAGAACTAAAAAAACAGCAATAAATGATAATAAAATAAAAGTCAGATGAGGCATCTGCAAAACTTCCAGTAAACTGACAGAATAAATGAGCAGGAAGAAAAGGAAAGCAAAAGTAGTATTTAACAAGGGTTTGAGGGATTGAAGGCTTTTATATGCATGGGGATAGGTGATTCATATTATGAGGTGCAGCGGTAAACGAGCAGAATGAAATACAGGTGTGACAGGCTAAGTGAGCTGAGGGAAACAAAGTGGCCTAAAGCCACATTTACACCAAGTGCAGAAGGGATGCAGGCTGGAATCTGTGCAGCTTCCACAGTTTACACCAGTAAAAAACATGGCTCTCGCATTTGTCTAAAAACCTCCAACAATAACATGTTTTGGACCAACCACTTCCCTGGATCCTCTATTCATTATGCACTTACGTATTTAGCAACAGAACACCACTGGTGTGAGGTTCTCCAATCAATAATACCAGAGAAGGAGACAGAATATTTACAAAAAAATCACAATGTAACCATAGACACATTACTTGGTGTGTGTGTGTGTGTGTGTGTGTGTGTGTGTGTGTGTGTGTGTGTGTGTGTGCGCGCGCGCGCGCGCTCTGTCTTCTTGATCCCCAGTGAGTCGTGGTAGATGGGTGCTTCTACTGAGCCAGGATCCTCTGAGGTTTCTTCCTGTTAAAAGGGAGTTTTCCTCTCCTCTGTCGCTGCATGCTTGCTTAGTATGAGGATTGCTGTAAAGTCACTGAAACTAGTCAGTGACTTGATGCAATTTGCTGGGTTCAATTCAATTCAAAAATACTTCATTAATCCCAGAGGGAAATTCAATTGTTTCAGTACACAATTCTGAGATCAGATATACATACGTACATAAACACATGACAAGAATTGGTGACTGTGGTCATTCGCAACACAAGTCGCGCTACCTTTATAGATCAAGAGGGTTTAAATGAAGATAGGGGGGGGGGGCACTTCAGAGTTACCCCCGACAGAGAGGATAGCTTTGTTATGCAAAAAAACACCTCAGACAGATATGCACACAGACTTCAGACGATACACAACATAAGTGTCCACTAGGTGGGGACGTAGGGTTGGGACTCTCCTCACTTCAGTGCGTGCAGCCGCAAGAGCAGTGCTCATCACCTCCGTTTGGACAGGGGAGGGAGATAATGGTTTAGAGAGCACATTGACTCCTAGATACGGTTCCACGGCCTTCACTGGTAACAGTCCCGCCCAGGCTGGGATAGGGAGAAAGAGGGTTTCCATAGCAACGGCAGCATTCCACATATCTTCTGAGGGGGGTGTTTTCACTTCAACCTCACAGGCTTCAAGGGCACCAGATTAAGATAAGAATTGTTTTGGGTACAGACAGAGATAATTTCCTCTCTGCCTTAGAGTTCTGTTGGTCTTCAACCCCTCCAGGTCCAATAATGGCGTAGTCAATCTATTCCAATCCGTGCTGATCCGTCAACTCTCTCCTTGATTGAATCCACCTTCTGTACCAGAGCCTGAATCTCAGCCAAAGTTCCAAGTTTACGACTCATCTTGACATTTATACGAGTCTGTGAGTTTACAGCACGATGCATTCCATCCCTGAGCTCCGGGATTAAGCCAATATTCCTCGAAAACTCGTTAATTTTCCGGTATGCCAGGTAACCGCTCTGGCTAAACAGCAGGAATCCCGACACTAAAACAACGAATATCCAGACATCTTCAGAATCCTCTACAGACAGTTGAGACAGGCAGATCAGGTTCCACTGTTTCCAGGAGTCCATGATATACCCAGCTGGCTCTGTCCCAGAGGGACATCTGGGAGCCCCTTCTATCGTTGTCATCGTTAAAAAAATTTGTCAGTCGCGTTGAGAGACCAGCTGACCAGATCCATGTTTAATAATTTCCAGTTTCCAGAAAAAATGCAGAAAGCGCAGTGCACAGGCAGACAGGACAGAGAGCCTTGGGAGGAGGGAGGGAGGGAGAGGAGCAAAAAGTGTCTGTACTCCCCAAGAGCCGGAATATATAGAAAACTTTTTTCTGATTGGCTTAATGAATTGACCTGTATTGGAATGTTTATTATTTGAAGTGCCTGGAGACGACTCTTGTCGTGATTTTGCGCTATATAAATAAACTTGAATTGAACTGACAGTCGGCTGCAACCACTTCAACTTTAGGACAAACTACCAGAGTCTAAAAAGAAAAACACCATTTAAAACCATGGCCAGCAAAAGACATTTGGACCCAGTAAAGGGTGATTGGTGTTTAGCGCTATCTTGTTTTCTACCAGATCTGCTCGAGTGCCAGATCGCCTGCCAATGACATCACACTACATGATTGGCTGAAGGCAGGACCTACTAAAGTTACGATACCACATTCGTAAAAGTTACATTAGCACTTTGACATTGAAGATTTTGATCGGTCCAAACAAATTTGCGGTTGTAGTCCTGTAGTCCAAAAACAAACACTTTTCGGACAAAAAATGGGGCAAAATTAAATTAAAAAAACTTTGTTGAACAAATAGCAAGCAACATTTTTAATGAATGAATGGATTTATTTACATAAGAACTTACGAAATATACAGAGCAATCTCAAATTTATACAAACGGACATGGCTGCTAATTATGTAAATTAATTTAAAAAATGTCACGTTTAACACCTGTTGTGCTTTTTGACAGTGTGATGTTGGTTTTATATAGTTTATCATTCTTTAAAAACGAAGACAATACGGTGTTTTAATACCCAATTTCAGTTAAAAAGAAATAATTTAGGCCGTAAGACACTAGAATGTATAACAAAACTGCTAAACTCTTTCCAAAACGTAAGTGTAAAAACCGAGTGGATTTGCCGTTGTGTGACATCATCGGCAGGCACAGGACCCCAAGGCGGTCTGGCACCCGAGCAGATCTGGTACCTACACCGGCATCACGGGTTTCTGGTTCCGGAAGACGTGTCTCAGGGAAGATACCCGAGGGGAGGGGTGAGTGTTCCGTGACCGTGTTTGCGTTCAAAACCTAGCTTGTTCTGTGTAACAGCTTTAAGATTAACAGAAGAAGCAGAGAAAATAATGCAACATGGGTTTTATTTTTTAATAAACCGGAGACACCTCGCTGACACGTCTCACTTCCTGTCTGGCTCCTGTAATCCTTCAACTTTATGGCAATCCGCATGTGTTTTCCAGAAAATATATAAACTTTGCAGAAAGATTCCGCAGCTCCACATCCAGATCTGCTCGGCTCTGCAGCAAAGGCACCATGCACGTTTTGTAACACAATTATTATAACCCTTGTAAAAGTTTAATATTTAACATTTTGTGCCTGTTGAATTTTTATGAGCTTATCAATTCTAAACTGGCAGCAAAGAACAACAGATAAGGCTTCAGGCAAATGATAAATGCCACTAACGTCTTGAAGACTCAGCAGTAACATTAATGTTTTTACCACAAATGCCTAAAATGCAACAACTTTTATGTGCTGGTTCAGGTGGCTGGCAGGCAGATGGCAAGGGACCGAGTATCTGGGACACATTTTGTCATGAAAAAGGAAATGTGTTTGGGGACCAAACTGGAGATGTGGCCTGTAACAGCTATGAGCTGTGGGAGAAAGACCTGGAGTGTATCCAGCAGCTTGGTCTGACCCACTATCGCCTGTCCGTCTCATGGGCTCGCCTCCTGCCCGATGGGATGACACAACATGTCAATCAGAGAGGTATTTCCATCTGCATCAAACACATTTAAGCCTGTCATAATCTTCCTAAGTTTTATATCAATGTCTGTCCCAACAGGTGTACAGTACTATAACAGAGTGATCAATGACCTCCTGGCCTGTAATGTATCACCAATGGTCACATTGTACCACTTTGACCTGCCCCAAGCGCTTCATGATCTGGGGGGTTGGAAGTCACCGGAGATAGCAACTCTTTTTGACAACTATGCCAAGTTTTGCTTCCAAACATTTGGCGATCGCGTCAAGTTCTGGATCACAATCAATGAGCCTCATATATGTGCCAAATTAGGCTATGAAGATGGTATCCATGCACCAGGGTTGAAAGAAAAAGGCACTACTGCCTACCTGGTGGGGCACAACATGCTGCGAGCTCATGCCAAGGCATGGCACAGCTACAACTCAGAATACAGAGCCAAGCAGAAGGGTGCGGTCTCTCTGGCCTTCAACAGCGACTGGTTTGAGCCACTGGATCCGAGCTGTAGTGCGGACATCACTGCTACCGAACGGGAGTTTGCATTCACACTTGGGTGGTTTGCTTGGCCTGTATTTGTTACTGGAGATTATCCTGAAACAATGAGATTTGCCATTAATTCTCAGAGCCAGAAGCTGGGTTTTGATGGCACTTCAAGACTTCCCACGTTCTCAGACGATGACCCGTCCATTTTAGGAACAGCTGATTTCTTTGCACTTAACTATTATACAGCTCGGAAAGTCAAAGCAGGAGGAGGTGTTGATCAGACATTGAGTATGAAGAGTGATCTCGATGCAAAGGAGGTTTTGGATCCATCCTGGCCCATTTGTGGCGCACCCTGGCTGGCAGTAGTGCCCCATGGCTTGAGGAAACTCCTGAGATATATAAAGGTGACAAATCGCTGTTTTATAACCTCTTGACATGTATGCGTTTCCATTTATTTTATTTGCAGCAATCTAGTTTAGACATCGCCAAAAGCACACCGATGCTTCATTGGTGCCGTCACATTGTATGAAACGGTTACCGTGCTGAAAAGTGTCAGCAAACGAGCTGTTTCCTGCTGTTGTGTGACTCGTTGCGGGCCATTAGTTTGAACCTGGCACCGCTAAAATGCAGCTAAACGACACATTGTAGACCAATCTGTCTCTCCTCCCAGTGCCTGACAACCGTGATGCTTTGTTTGACAAAAAACATTTGCCCCTTAACTTTTCAGGACACCTTCCACAACCCAATGGTGTACATTACAGAGAATGGCTTCTCTCAGATGGGCCCTGTTCAGATTGAGGATTGGGAGCGTTGGGAGTTTTACAGTAGCACCATCTCGGAAGTGGCTAAAGGTAAAAACCTCTGGTAAATGCTTGAAGTTAACAGGAACACGTTGCTGTTATAGCACATAGTTGAATAATAAAAAAAAAATGTAAATAATACAGTATTTTATTTGACAGGAAAGTGAACGGTGGGTTATAATGTTTTTACTTATGTATTTGTAGGAGTGTGTGTGGAAAAAACGGATAAAAAAAACATTTTTGTTACACACCTTTCCTTTTATGTCCAGCCATACAGGAAGACGGGGTCAATGTCCGTGGATATTTTGCTTGGTCACTCATGGACAACTTTGAATGGGCTGATGGATTCAGCGTTCGCTTTGGGCTTTTCCATGTGGACCTCTCTGATGCCGAACTGAGTCGAACCATGTATCGATCTGGACGGGAATATGCACGGATCATATCAAAATATAAAACATCTGGTCAAGCCAAATGATAGGAGGACATGATGGGAGTTGGAGCCATCATGTGGGCTGCAAAGGAAACCATTTCAAAATACTATTGGACATGAATCAGTTTTAGGATGGCAAATTAAAAGCTTAGTGATTACACCCTAATGAATCAGTGTTTAATCAAATCACAAGTCACAAAGTACTAAAACGAGGTTCTGATTTTGAATCTGAATAATCAGCCTTTATAAATTAGGATATTTCTGTTTCCTAAAATTGGCTTTTTAATCTTGAAGATTAAAAAAAGTTTAAGTTAGTTTGACATACAGATACAGAGATGAGTCTAGATTTAAAGGCCAGAACATGGCATCGTTATGTGGGTATTTAGAGCTGGCTGGAACATTTTCAGTAAAGAAAATGGCTTAAAACCAAACCAGTCACTTCTCTGTCGCACTCATAAGAGACACAATACTTAGGGCAGCAGTAGCTCAACAGGTTAAGCGGGTTGTCCAGTAATCGGAAGGTTGCAGGTTCAATCCGGGCTCCGACAGAGAATTCTGCTGTTGTGTCCTTGGGCAAGACACTTAACCCACCTTGTCTGCTGGTGGTGGCGCCTGTGCTCGGCAGCCTCACCTCTGTCAGTGCGCCCCAGGGCAGCTGTGGCTACATCGTAGCACATCACCACCAGTGTGTGAATGTGTGTGTGAATGGATGAATGATACACTGTAGTGTAAAGCGCTTTGGAGTCCTTACTCTGAGAGGTGCTATACAAGTGCGGGTCATTTATCATTTAGTAGTAAATTTAAAGTGTGACAATAACAAAATTAAGGGCGTAAAAGTCATCATCGGAAGGAGCCTGAAATGTAATTTTCACATCATTCTTGTTACAAACTGCTTGTTGATTAAACAAATACAAATATTCAGAGTATTTGAGGTGATCAGGTACATTTCTGATCAGGTACTCTTCTAATAAGAAAACAGCCTCATCATAGACTGTTGATGTTTCCAGGATTAGAGCCCCAGATGATGGTTCTGCTTGTGGGGCTATACTCCCACCTTGTGGTTCACTTAAGAAATACAACTGGCTGAAGTTTGACTCCTCACAATATGGTGATCTATATGAAATGTATCCTAAAGCAGTACACACGTGGGCAGCTATCTAAATGCCATACATCACATATGTAACAATTGATATTTATGCTTCAACATGAAGGAAACTGTCATCTATACCCTGTGTTGGGGAGAGACAGTTGTTTGCATTAATAAGCACGCCGCTGTATCGTGACACCCAGTCGGCTGTGCGTACTGTTTTGAGCAGATGTGAATAATACCCCCATGCCCCTCGTCCATCTTATGTCAGGATGAGTGAGAATCTTCTTTGTCTTGTGATGAATACAGCAGCCACTGTGGAAGCATGAGTGATGCCACTTCTGCTCGCATCACAACTTTGTTTGATCTCAAAGTTGAGTCCCATTTTTATGAACTTTACCTTCTATCTGTTGCTCTGAGCCACATAGACACAATACAAAGGCTTTCTCACAGTGGGCCCACCAAGAGAGGACCTGGGGGCTGTTGAGTGGCAAAAAAGACCAGTGTCTCCAAGAGCATGGATTACTGAACCAGAACCAAAGGATGATTCATTAAATGAAGGAAAGCTGTTTTAGCAGTACTGGCCTTTTTTTGTGTGTGCAAATTTTTGCTAAAATGAAATAAAAATCTTTTGGACTTTGCATTCTGTTCAAATGTAATGGATTATCTGCAAAGTACTTCAATTAGTTTATTTTTTTAAATTAAATCGGCATGAAAAGAAACCTTTAAACACTGCTTCAAACATTTGACTCTCACTAAAACATTTTATCTGATAATCAAGCTCTTTAACTAGGAGAAATAAAACTTCTGCAGTTAGTATGAGCCAAAATGTCCACTTACATTTTACATGTATTCAACCAGTGACCTGTCATTGTAGCAAAAGCAAATGAATACAATTTCAATTGTACACCAAGAGGTGCTTGTCGACCTCATGGTATTGACACGTGTATCCAACAAACCAGGCAGTAGGGAAGCCAAAAATAGCTGTACCCTATGGAAGAAACAAAGTCACTCCAGAATGACTTTTTAGACATTGGATTTTTATTCTGTGAAATTATGTATTTTATTTATTTTTATTTAAAATACACAAGTAAAATTTTCACCTTCAAAAATTCTACAACATAATTTCAACATAAACACTTCATTAGCAAAAATTCAACATCAGAAATTCAGCTGCAAAAACTCAACTACAAATGAAGTGACCTCCTTGTAACCAAGCCAAAGCAGTTGTCACGTGATCAGGGAAGCATAATTTGATTGGCTGAAAGCCACTCGATTCAGTCGAGTGACGATTGCTTTGTTCTGACGATTCCACACATGCTGGAACTTCCCCAACCCATTTTAGCTGCAACAAACCACAGATTTTTATGTAAGTAATTATTTAAGGGGAAATTTTGGATGGTGAACGTTTATAGAAAGCATTGGCTTTAATTGCTATTGATGTTTTGCGATTAGAGCTGTTTGCTCAGACAGAATTAATCTTCACTTTTGAAAACAAGTGGTCCAAAGTGCTTTCTATGACTGCTTTCTAACTTGTTTAACTTTTCACACACACACACACACACACACACACACACACACACACACAAAAGGTTTGAAGGATAAAGTTATTAATAAATTCTGCTTTTACACTGAACTAACTTTAAACACCTCCAGGCTTTGCTTTGTCGTTGTTTCTGGTCAGGTTTTTAAGGCCAGTGTCAAAATATGGTCTTCTGTTCATGACCATCAATCCTCTAAAGATCAACCCAATTTTACAGGAACAGTGGCAACCTTGTTGAATATTTGTAACTCGATTGCTGGGTACACTTTGGGTGTGGGTGTAAAACCCACAGCAGAATAAAATTCCTGAACATTTTCCATGACTTGTTTTTGATGTATTGCCAAGGTCCAACCATGCAAACATTCAGGAGGGTCCACATGTTACATAAATGTTTGAGTCCAAATCAGAACCAAAGCAGGTCTGAATCATGGCACTCTTGATTCGTCAGTTCAGCTCTTGGGTGACTGACTCCTCCACTAAGAGTTGATAAGTAATTCCAGCAACTGTCTCCCAGTATTGATGGATTCCATCTCCCATCACTGGGTTAAAAAAAATCTGGCACATATATATCTGCCTATACGTGGAAAAAAAACTGCACTCCTGAATTGATTGAATGAAATATGAGCAAGAGGTTACACTGCACTTAGCGAATGTTGAAATTTGCCATTTGCTGGGAGCTGAAGAATAATATGTGCCTATTGCTACTTGGAGAGCTTAAAACATTAATTAGCATTTAAATAATTCACACCCAGGGAGCCTTTAACAGCCCAAATACGAACGAAGAATTTATTTCGATTAGAGCTGCGATGGACAAAAGTCTGAGAATGAACAGATTCCAAATGTGCTTTCCAATTGAGTGTCAAATACATCACATATAGAGAGATATGTTGCTTTTGACAGTGAATTAGCATGTTTAATTGTTAACATTCAATCACCCTAAAGAGTATTGTGGTAAATTGAGAGGCCCATTTATATTGAACCAAATTATGTTTTGGCAGACATTATGAAATATTAAATAACTGGGAATTCATTTAGTCAGGAGCAAAATTACAAAGTAAGTTTGTAATAGTCACTTAGCTTCTTTGTGAATTATAGAAAGAGAGACAATCTTGTAAATCAAACACTTGCAGGTGGGAAAGGGCAAAAATAACCCTTTTCTATTTACTGATTATGCTATATACCCTGGAGAAATGCTACAATTAAATTGCTGCCTCAATATCAAGATGATGAGATGTGAGCCACTCCCTTTTTCTCTGGAGTGAAGATACAAATCTCTTTTCTTTGTCTTGGCTTCTCAGTCAGCTGGTGAGGGACCTGCGAGGGCTCCCAAACCACCACTCAGCCTCTTCGTGTCTTTCCTCCTCCCTCACCTCCTTGTCTTCTTTCTCTTGCTGTTTCTTCTCTCCAGCTCATCATCTTCCCCTCTCCTAATCGCATTGCTCATTTTCCATTGACAAGTGAGAATGAGGGGAGAAGAAGAAGGGGAAAAAAGAGCACAAACTTTTTAAATCCCATTGACCTACTTTGCCAGACATTTCACTGGGAATTCACATTAGTGCAAAAAGAGTCTGGAGAAGAAATGTTTTCTCAGTTTTACACCCCTCCTCCCTCCTTTTTCCATCTTCCTCAAAACTCTTTCAGCTGGAGGCCATTTTTCCTCGCATCGCGTATTTGATCCCATATAAGCACTAACAGAACATTATACAAGTGGATAAACGCCTTACAGTGGCAGAACCGATGTTTGGGAGCACTGTCGCCACTTTTGACGGCGCCATAGGAAGCATGACATTGGAGTTAGGAAAAAACGGGGCTTTTGGAGACCTTGTTTGTGATTGATAGAAGGAAGACAGGAAGCAGAAATATGAGAGACCCAAACAAAAGAACTTGATGAAGAGGGAATAAAAGGAGAAAAAAAAGATAATTCAAGTCTTTTGTTTTAAGTTGCTCCCTGAGGGACTTGCACATGACCTCGCTAATGACTGTCAAAAACTCCAACTCCCTCGAGTGTGATGGTGCTGTGCGATGGGAGGAGGGGGTTCACAGACCTGCCTGAAAAATTGAAAGCTCCTGGAATATTCAGCCATCCTTGGGTGCTCCGCTGAGGGTGGTAGAGGGGGTGCACTGATTCTGAGAGTAAAACCTGTAGCGGTACTGATAGAGTGCCCCCTCTTTAGTGTGTGTGTGTGTGTGTTAGTGGTGGCCAATGAGCCGAGTGCCATGAAAGAGACGGAGAAGACTTATGGAACCTTTACAACTGAGGTGAGTATGATTGCGAAGACCGGGTAGTTACCAGGCCTGGATCCAAGCAGAGAGACTAATGATGTGGATATAACCCTGTGCTCTCGATATGCAAACACAGCATCGTCAATAAAGATTTAATAATGGATATTTAACAGGAGGAACACCCAAACTTAAAGGGATAATTCACACATTTTTAGTGGACTTGAGGAGCTAAAGCTAGTCTACACAATGTCAAAACCAAAGGAAATTCCCGTTTTCCTAAGACAACTCCGCACTTAACAGTTTCACAGTAATAAAGTAATCCAACCATTTTGTTGTGTTTATCCAAGGTCAGGTCACTGAGGTGCTGAATCAAGCAGGGAAACCCAGACATTCTTCTTCCCAGCAAAAATCGCAAGCTCTTCTGAGGGAATTACAATAGTTCCAAGGCCGCCGACAATATATAATTCAGCCAGTGAGTTCTGTGTCAGCCCAAGGGTTCTGTCTTACATCAGGATCACATCAGCTGTGAAGCACCGCAAAGTGGATTGCTCACAAAATTCTTGCGCTCCTCGCTGCTCCTCTGTTCACATCAGGCGGAAATATTCGACAAGTGCTTCTGCTCACGCCTACTGTTTTCCAACCCCTCATGCCGAAGCCATCGCTGCGCGGCGCAAGCCTTTGTGACACTTCGCAGCTGATGTGACTGAGACCGCAGGTTAAGAAGGGCGCCGATTAGAAGCGCTCGTCGTTCCACGGCGCTTTGTGAAGCATCGCTGCGCTTTCGCATCTGATGTGATCCAGGGGTTAGAGGGATGGGCCCAGAAAACCTGCACTGGCATCCTAATCAGACACTCAATCCACATTTAGTAAGTAAGTATGTTTTATTTATAAAGCACTTATCACAGACATAGAATCACAAAGTGCTTTAAAACTTTTGTCAATGCAGAGAAGTTTTACTATTCCAAGCACCCATGGATGATTGGGAGGGCTAATTTCAGCCACTTGTATTCTGAATGTCGTCAGTGCTTTAAAGGGGCCAGTGCACTTCTAATATTTACTTGTCAGTGTACCGGGACTTTTCCCCCCAGAGTACGATGTGTACCGGAAGGTTTTCCAGTCATTTATTGGTCGAAAACTCGAGATTTCTGAAAAAAATATCTGTCCGTCTTGAAAAGGAACCCAGGTTACAAAACTTTGTGGTTCTTAAAAGATAAATGTTAGTATCAGTTATATTAAAGTGGTGTATAAACCTTATTAATGTCTTCATTTTTATGAAATTTTTAAAAATAGTTTCACTCATAGGTCGCCATTGTTAGCGTCGCAATGCACTCTGGGTAGTGACGTCATATGGTTGTGCCTCGGTTGCACCGGCCAGCTTTGGGACCCTGTAGTGACTGTTCAGCGACATTAACTTTAAAAGCATTAGCTTTAAAACAAAACTCTAGAAAATTGGAGAGAACATGGCGCTCTACGCACCATGAGGAGGCCTACCTATCCTGGAAAAATAGTCTTGTGCTTCATAAAAAATAAGCTTCGACAAACTAGAACTGCTTATTTCTCAGCATTAATTGAGGAGAATAAGAATAATCCTAAATTTCGTTTCAGTACAGTTGCGAAACTTACACAGAATCATAGCTCTGAACCATCTATTCCCTTAGCCCTCAGCAGTAATGACTTTATGGGATTTTTCACAAGTAAAATTAATTCTATTAGAAACAAAATCTTTAGCATCCTTCCTTATGTGATTTCTTCTTCCTCAGTAAGTGAGGCAGCATCAGAGGTAACTGTAGAACCTCATCTGTGTTTGAACCGTTTTGATCCAGTTGAGCTTTCAGAGTTATCAAAAATATTAGCTTCATCTAAACCTTCCACTTGCATTTTG